CCTGCTGGTAGCAGTATTTTTTAGATTAAAAGCTGCCTTGATGATAACCCATCTGAGACATTCATTTGACATTTGTTAAAGATTGGGGGAAGGAGAATAGACTTATATGCCATGCCAAAATACAAGAAAGCCTGGAAACGCCCATTACAAAATACTTACAAAAAAGTTTTGCATGGATTGAAGCTTTGGAAGAGGTGATCGTGTAGGTAGGAAATGCGTCTGGGGTTGGTTAAGACTCGGTAGCAAGTGGATGCTCATCTTTCTGCAGTAGGAGCAATCCATGACAAGATCAGCTGGGATCTCGTAGGGAGTCTGTGACTGGCAAACATGATGCAGAGTGAGAATTTGGATTGCACAAAAAGAAAAAAAAAAGCATTTCCCTGCATACTTATGCTGATTGGATGTATGTATGCTGACTGGATGTATTTTTACTTTCTGCAGTGATCGTATCCAAATAGACTTGAGTCAAGCAACATAATATTGGATTTATGAGCTGTATTTTTAAGCTACAGAAATTCAGAAACCACTGGGAGATTTGAACAAAATTATCAAGGTATCCTTTGGAAAAGGAAATGGCTTCATAGTTTTTCTTCTTTTGTCCTCAGTCACAAAAATGAAAACTTCACATGTAATTTTAGTGCTGGATGCCCCATCCCTGGAAGTGTTCAAGGCCAGGCTGGATGGGGCTTTGAGCAACCTGGTCTAGTGGGAGGTGTCCCTGCCCAGGGCAGCTGGGGGTGGAACTAGATCTTTAAGGTCCCTTCCAACTCCAACCATTCTATGATAATTTTTAGTACAGATATGTTTTTCAGTCTTTCTGCCTCCTTTGTGTTGGGTACTCCTTAAACGTTTGTTTTTCTCATGCAAGTTTTTGTATGTAATATCCTTGCAGCTATTTTCTGAAATGCAGTTAAGAATTTTTTTGACCCAGCCACCAACTAAATGGCTCTGTATGACAAGTAACATGTTTAACAATAAACTGTTTGCAATAATACTTTACAGGTGAAATGCAAGGTCTTTTTATGTCACTCCAAGAATACCGGTCATAATCGGTGACACAATTGATGTTAATGACAGGTGTCTGTTTATTTGGATTTAAGCAGTAAAAATGCCCAACTATAGAAGAAATGAGATTTATGTTACTGAATGAAAGATCACAATTGTATAAATATTTCTTCAGTTGCCAAGTTGCTGTTGTGGAAAAAGAAGTTCCTGCATTTTTATAGCCCTTTTAGTGCTATGCTTATTTAACAGTGTTTCTTTTTTTACCTTTTAACAGTTGTCATCAAAAAAATGCTTTTATCCCCTTTAAGATGTGGAGGAAAAGAACGGAATCTTAATTAAAGAAAGGGTTTGTTTATTTTTAGAAAAGTTACCCCTGCTTTATAGGAATTAAGTGAGCCTTTAGGAAGTGTTTGGTTGATATTAGTGAAAAATTCAGAACTCATTTATGTAGAGGCTGAAATAAATCCTCATTCCCTTTCTCTAAATGAAAACCAATAAATCAAGGCTATTGAAGGCCTTGACAGTATTGTTCAGAATCTCAAGGACACTTATTTTAAATGACTTTCTCACTATAAATAGTCCAGGTGTTTGATGAAACCCCTGAAATTAATTTGTCATCTCTCCCTTTTTTAATGAAACATTCTGTTTTTCATCCACTAGCAGCACAGGGGAGATCTTATTTGTTTACTATTGTTATTTGTACCTTTGTCACTGTTGTTATCTTTTTTTTTTCTTGCACAGCGGTTCTGGCAGAGTTTATCAAGCCAGATGTGGAATGCTTGGAGTTGTTTGCTCGCAACCTACAGCCTGGCTGGACCAGCTGGGGAAACGAGGTTTTGAAGTTTCAGCACGTGGATTATTTCACTCTTCTGCAGAATGAAAACTGAGTTGGGTCTTGTAGCTCAATTCTGAAATTCCGCGCCTTCCCAGCAGGCTCTTGAACTTGCCTTTATTACTGATGGTGCAGTTGGAAGATAACAGAAATAAAGCCGGTTGCACTTCAGTTAAAATTCTTGAAGTGGTAGGATATCTGTTCAGTGGTATCTCCGTTCGTACAAGCTCATCCTTTGCTTTGACGATCTTGAGATATGTTAGAGTGTAAGTCCATTCTTGTTTTTTTCAAACCTCAAGAAAAGAAAGATATTTTAAAGTATTCTCACTGCAGCTGTCAAGTCTGAGCATCATAAGTGCTACAGTGTTACACTTGTATTATTTTTAAAGTATTATAATGTGTTATTTTTAAAGAGTGGCAATGGAAGTAAACAGTTCTGAATTATGTATGTTTCCTTAATGAAGATTGTTTTTTGCAAACCAGTGGATTTTGAACTAAAAAAATTATGAAGGCAGTGTATCTTCCTTCATGTTTGTATCTGTCTATCTGCCTCAGAGGAAATACAAGGAGCGGTGCTTGTATTAGTTGGCAAATGAACTGTTGACCACATTCTGTGTAAAATTACACTTTTGAAACAGTCAGCAATTCCATCTTTCTGTGTGTGCTGTGCATTCTTTGAATACATTGTAAATGATCAGTCTCAACATTTCACAAATTCTGCATATGCAGCTATTAGTTTAACTGAAATTTTAATGGAGTATGTGTTTTAGAAATTCTCTTTCCTTATGTTCTTGGAACATAAAAAGCCTTACCAGTGAGCTGTATTTTTCAGCTGCATAAAAATGATCTTTTTCTTTTTTTTTTTTTTTTTTTTTTTTAGAATGGTACACTTTGTGTGTGCTTTGCTCTTAATTTGCTTTGAAAAATAAAAAAAAGGAGATTTAACGAAGCCTCTGCCCCTTACTCATTTGCAGCAGTAGAGGCAGAGCTGCTGGACAAGCATTTTCCTGATGGCAAGCTCCTGAGTTCTGACTGCTTGTAATGGGGAACAAAATGCGTTGCATATCTTTACATGTATTTGTTTTTTGGTAGCCTGATGAGCTGCGAAGGTTTTTTTAATTTATACTTTAAATGTTAGATTATTTTTTAATACTTTTGTAATAAAAATTAAAATAAAAATTTGTCAGTGTCTAATTTGCAGACCCAGTTTTTGTATTACTGTTCAACTTCATGTTTTGCCTATTGGAGCAGTAGAGTTAACTAAGGAAAATGCTTTTTGCCTTCCCCCCCACCCCCACTAGAAGTTAAACATATACTCAAAATATGTAAATAATGTAACAGTAAAGGTAGGTACCACGCAAAACACTTCTTGCTGCATGATTCTATTTAGCCTATGCTTTAAACTGTCAGTATGTAAGCAACCTTAGCGACAACTATAAGGGGTAAGAAGGTTCTTTATTTGCTTTCAGTTTTAAAAGACATTCCCTACCCGGAGCTTCTGAGTTTCCAGAATTCCCCTCCCAAGATGGTCTCATCCAGTACTAAATGAGGGTATGAGACTTAAGCATGGAATAAATCATAACTGCTGTACGTATCTTGCTTTCCCTTTGTACTCTGTAAAACAGCACAAGAAATGATGGTATTGTCTGTTCCACATCCGCTGCTATGAATGGCTGTAGATTATTTTTTAATTGCAAATAAAGGAAAGGGATGAACTGTCTTAGAGAGCAGAAAAGCACCTTTCTCCTCCTTCGAGCTAAGGAGCAGAACACTTCTAAGGGAATGACCTTCTTCAAGTTGTTTAGGAGTTGATGGCCTATTTAATGTGTCTTTTCCGTGGTAGTCCCTTTGCAAGTCGCAGCCCTTCCTCTGTCTTCTGACCTGCTGTGCTCAGAAGCTGAGCAGCAGATTCCAGCAGCTGGGAGTCCAGCCTCCTCAGTATGGTTTGTATGTAGATGGCACGTGCGGGTAGGCTATAAGCTTCTTGGACTGGAAATCAAAAGCTGAAGACTGGGGTCTAAATAATACGTGATCCTGTCATAAATAGTTACGAAATTGTGCCTCGTACAGCTGTTTGCTCTGCCACTTTTCCAGCCCTCTGGCCAGGAAGAAAACCTTGTGAATATGACAGAAGTGGTGTTCTACATCTGCAGCCAACCTGAAACTATTGGGTTTTCTCAGAAGGAGGTTCAATATATCTCGGTTTGTTGCTAACTCAGAAACCTCACAGTGGTATTCGCAGTTGATAGTTTCAGGGTCATCTTTGAAGCATAATTATTTGCCTGTTATGCTTAATTCATAATTTAAATAGCCTCTTACACTTCTCAAGCTGTCCCCAACCAGCCATCAGGTCTTTCAGTGTTAGTCAGGTGATTCCTCTGAGGCAGAATCCAAAGTGTACTGAAAAATCGGTAATGAGTGAAGCCAACTAATATAAAAGGACAATTTAAGATCCAATTTCCTTTTATAAAGGAATAATATTATCTATATCAATTGCTCTATATTACTTCTGTGGTGGAAGGATGTCCTCTGTTGTGTCAAGCCCTGTATAAAACAGGAAACGTGCTCTGGAGAGTTTACAAACTTGGTGAGAAATGACAGAACAAGGGAGAAGATAAGTATGGAGGAATACAGGATAGTAATGAGATGTTGAGGTGAATAATGGTAAGTAGCACCCTAGGTATTATGCACATCTTCAGCATTCCTAAGACACTTTTCTATTTTGGCATGTTAAAATTCACACATTCCAAGGAATAATAGGTGAAGTGTGTATTTTACAAGCAACATTGACAAAAAAGAAGTTTTTTTAAGTTCTAAATTCTTTTTCTGACAGTTAGGTGAAGTGAGAACTGTGCTTAAGAATTTTCAGAAAGTAATGTATTTGGTACATCAGCTGTTATTTTTACCGTCAGCAGGACAGTAAAAAAATTCTTTGGCTAGGTGTCCTCCACTACTTACCGCCTTTTAAAAGTACTTCTTATTGCAAAAAAAAATCTCAGTTCATAAAGCAATAAGAAGTAATTTTAAGCTATTCCTATATGTAGAGTACATCAAGTGTCATAATCAAACTTAGTTTTATGAAGCTTCAGGTTTGAGTATGATTTTGAAATGTCAAATTAGCATACGACCTTTACTTGTATTTTTAAACTTTTATAAAGTAAAAAGAATTATACCAGTAAGGTATGTTTTCGGAATAGCGATTGCTAGGTGTGAACTCCTGTGGAAACAGGAAAGTTCCTTTTGCAAGATTAAACATTATTTAAAAAGTGAAGTAAGTGAGCAGCTCTTACCTCTTTATAGGTTTCAACTGAGGTAGGTGTCAGCAGCAGTAGAGTTGACTTTGAAAATTGATTTCTAGACTACATAGGCAGTGATAAAATAACAGGAGGAAAATGCTGCTATGCCCCAAGAATTGTGTTCGTTAACCTCAACACACCGTTTAAGACTTACCTACTGCTTATTTTGGGTTGAACACAACAGTAAGCGAATGGAAGATGACTAGAGAACAGCCAAGGGATGAGGTTTGTTCAAGTTGCTGAAAGAAGTCTTGTGGTGTCCTAGCTGGCAGGTATGTTCCGAATTGTCTGACAGTCTAGTGGACCTTGCTTGACATAGCGACTTTTGCCACAGTAGCATGTTTTGGTTGTAATGACTAGAGGTGTCCTTGTGCAGCAGCACATTGCTATCCCAGTCCTCTGGGGTAGCTCTTCCATCCTCACCTGGATGGGGGTTGCTTTTTGCTGAGAGCATGGCCACAGAAAGGAGCTGCTCTTTCACAGAGCCAATGTCTAAGCTGCAAGTCCTAAAAAATGCCACTCTGATCTAGCTGTGTGCCATGGATGCACCCTGACTTCATAGGAAGGACTCCCAGGGTGAGAAGGAGCCCCACTGTACTTTCATCAGGGCTGGTATCAGTAGAAGAGCTGCATGCTGTGACCTAGTGTGAATCAAGGGCTCTGCTGTTATAGGGAACCACATCAGATAATCCCTTCCCTAAAATGACTAGGTATTTTCCATTAGTGGTGGTAGCTAAACGCTGACATTATTTCAGGAATAGCAGGAAGTTAGAAAAAACAATCAGGAAGAGAAACTGGTAGGTGTAGATAAGCTGCCACCCATATGATAAAGGTATGGCCTTTGTGTTGTTAGGAACACGTCTTGCTTAGGGACAAAATCTGCCTTGTTGCATTGAAAAAGCTTGAGCCTGCAGTTGCTAAATAGTTAAAAATCACCATGCTGGGAGGGGTGAGCGGAGATTTTGGTTGTCAGAAGCAACTTGCATGGACCAGCCTAACTAGACACCTTTGGGAGAGGATGCGCCTGCAAGACAGCTTTCCTAAACTGGTTGTTCTTACAGGTTGTTCCCAAGGAGAGAAGGGAACTTCATACAGAACAGTAAAATGGAAATCTTCTCACCCAGAAAGCTGTTTCTATGGCTCGACCACAACTGCTCTTTGCTGCTGGAGAAGGCATCGTGGGTACTCCAAACTGAATGGTGATCACCTGAGAAGAGAACAGCTACAATCCTGTTTGTAGCCTGGTGGTCAGATGTAGGAGGGCATGGCAACAGAGGCATCTGAAGTACCACGTTGCCACATTCTTGGAGTTAAGGATTTGAAATTGTGGCAATAGTGAAACTGGCTGCTGTCACAAGGACATAAAAATGTGCAAGCCACGTGAGAGAAACCTGTGATTTCTCTATCAATCCTTGTGTTGGCTAATTTGTAGGAACGAGGACAGAAAAGAATCAGCAGTACAGAACAGAACAACAGTACCATAGCAGGATTGTTTTCCACAACTGGAACTTTATTTATCAGTTCTCGAGTGCTAACTGTTTGATAACAAAAGAACAAAGTAAGGCCTCATTTGATGACCCTAATGGAAATGAGAGCCCTGCCTCTGAATATAGGTGATTTTTTCAGATCAGCTAGGGAGATAGTATTCATGGTTAATGTACTACTAATAAAATAGTATGAAGGCAAATATTTGAGTAAGATATTTTCCTCCTGACCTTCAATATGCAGTGGCTTGTCTTCTTTTTTCCCCTGTCAGTAA